TCTCTCTCTCTCTCTCTCTCTCTCTCTCTCTCCCTCTCTCCCTCTCCCTCTCCTTTCCTCTCTGAAATCAATAAAAATAAATTAAAATTTAAAAAAGACAGAATCTGGGAAAAACAGGAATCAATCGTTTCAGTGTATAGGCAGCTGTCATGGGGCGGGCGGCCCACCAACCAGAAGGGCCCACGTGTTGGCTGCTTCCTCAGAGAAATGTGTGTCCTGGCCCCCCTGGCAGTCGGTCACCCCGAGTCCCCTCTGCACTCTGTCTAATGCCTCCCCCTCCCACCCTGCTGTTCACAGCCATCAGCTTCCTCATCGAAACCGGCGCGCTGCTGCACTTCCCGGACACCAGCCACGGCCTGCGCAACCTCTACTTCCTGGACCCCATCTGGCTGTCCGAGTGCCTGCAGCGCATCTTCAACATCAAAGGCTCCCGCTCCGTGGCCAAGAACGGGGTGATCCGGGCGGAGGACCTGCGCCTGCTGCTGGTGGGGACCGGCTTCACGCAGCAGACGGAGGAGCAGTACTTCCAGTTCCTGGCCAAGTTCGAGATCGCCCTGCCCGTGGCCAACGACAGGTGCGTCCGCAGGCCGGGCTGTGCGGCCGGCTCCCGGGAGGGAGGAGTCGGGGGCCGAGGCTGCTGGGGCCTCGAACCGGGTTTTTCCAAAAAATGGGCTGTGGTGACCTCCGGCCCGTTCGGCTGGCTGTTTCTTTCCATGCACGGGTGTCTTTTTTTGTTGTTGTGAGTCCTCACCTGAGGATATTTTTTCATTGATTTTTAGAGAGAGTGGAAGGGACAGGGAGAGACAGAGAGAAACATCCATGTGAGAGAGACACATCGATTGGTTGCCCCAACCAGGGCCCGGGCCGGGGAGGAGCCTGCAACCGAGCTATGTGCCCTTGACCAGAATCGAACCCAGGACCCTTTGGTCAGCAGCCAGGGCACATGCCTGGGTTGCGGGCCCGATCCCCAGTAGGGGGCGTGCAGGAGGCAGCCGATCCATGATTCTCTCTCATCATTGATGTTTCTCTCCTTCTCCCTTACTCGCTCTGAAATCAATAATTTAATCCTCACCCGAGGATATTTTTCCATTGATTTTTAGAGAGAGTAGAAGAGAGAGGGAAAGACAGAGAGAAATATTGATGTGAGAGAAACACATCCATGGGTTGCCTCCTGCTCATGCCCTGCCCGACCAAGGCCCTGGCCAGGGAGGAGCCTGCAACCGAGGTACATGCTCTAGACTGGAATCAAACCCGGGACCCTTCAGTCTGCAGACCAACCCTCTGTCCACTGATCAAAACTGGCTAGGGCTCAATAAAAACTTTTAAATATATGTAAAGATAATAAAAAGAAAAAAAGAAAGAAAAAGAAATACATATATATAAAAGTAAATGTTAAAAAAATAAAGCAATCAACAAATGTATGTGAATCTGAAGATTGCATTTAAAAAAAGAAAGAAAGAAAGAGACACGCCCAAGGCTCGGCCAGAGCCTGCCCCTCGGGGCCACTCTCAGGGGGGACCTCCCACTTCCAGCTGTTTGCAAGCGACCAGCCAAGAACAGCTGAGCGACGCGGTGATGCAGCGCTTTTCTGCGGAGCAAGAACGCGGGCACCCAACGCCCCGCTTTTGCACAAACAGCCTCCTCTGGCTTTAACAGCGGCCGTGCCGTCTCCATTTGCCAAGAGCAATAAACAGCGGGGAGGCCAGCAGACACTCTGACCCCAACATGGGCATTGTCCTCGGACCCGTGCAGCTGTGTTTGTTTTTCCTCGGCCGCGTCCCGAGTTCATTGTGAGCGGTTCCCCCGGCCCGGCCCCGGGTGCAGGGCAGTCCCATCACGGCGGCGATGTGCTCTGTCTGGCGCGTTTAGGACCACAGATGGTTTCGGGTCTTTTGCCAGCCTTGGTCTCGCCTCTGTCTTGGCGACCGCGCTAAATACATTCATGGTGGCCATCCTCATGTTCTCTTGGAGCATGTATTCTTTTAAAAATATGTATGTTTGTGTGTGGGGTTTTTCTATTGATTTCAGAGAGGAAGGGAGAGGGGGGGAGAGAGAAACATCAATGATGAGAGAGAATCATGGATCGGCTGCCTCCTGCACGCCCCCAACTGGGGATCGAGCCTGCAACCTGGGCATGTGCCCGAATGGGAATCAAACTGTGACCTCCTGGTTCCTGGGTTGATGCTCAACCACTGAGCCACACCAGCCATTGGGGGGACATTGGAGGATTTATTCCTAACATGTAAACTGCTCTCTTTCTAAAAATAAAATTCCAAGGCCTTAGAAAGAAGGCCCCTTTCTACCGGGGTCAGGGCCCCGCCACAGAACTGGGTCTGAGGGTTCACAGTGCCCTTTATTTATTTATTTGGGGGATATTTTTATTTATTGATAGTAATGGGATGCTTTCCTCATTTTTAGAGAGGGTGGGAGGGAGGGGGAGAGACAGAGAGGGAGAGAAACATCGATGTGAGAGAGACACGTCGATGGGTTGCCTCCCGCACGTGCCCCGACCAGGGCCGGGGATCGAGCCTTGACCAGGAATCAAACCCGGGACCCTTCAACGGCTCACAGAGCCCTTCGGTGCGTTTCAGCTACCTCCTGCCGCACCTCCTCCCGTCCAAGCCCGGCCTGGACACCCACAGCATGCGGTACCCCACGGCCAACACCATCCAGAGGGTGTTCAAGATGAGCTTCGTGCCCGTCGGCTTCTGGCAAAGGTTCATAGCGCGGATGCTGATCAGCTTGGCGGAGATGGACCTCCAGGTAGCGGCGGTTTCTCCGTGGGGGCGGGGGAGGGGAGGATGCAGGTAAGGCACCTGCCACCCGGCCCTCACGGGAGAGAGGTGCCCTTGGCTGGAAGGGTTTGACCAAAAACCGTTTTCCTGCCCGGCCGGCGTGGCTCGGTGGTTGAGCGTCGACCTATGAACCAGGAGGTCACGGTTCAGTGTCAGCGCACATGCCCGGGTTGCAGGCTCGATCCCCAGTAGGGGGCGTGCAGGAGGCAGCCAATCCATGATTTGCTCTCATCATTGATGTTTCTATCTCCCTCTCCCTCTTCCTTCCTCTCTGAAATCAATAAAAATATATTTTTTTAAAAAAATAAAAAGAAACCATTCTTTCCCCAGCATCACAGTCCAGGAGAGAAAGCATGTGCCCTGACTGGGAATCGAACCGTGACCTCCTGGTTCATAGGTCGACACGCAACCACTGAGCCACGCCTGCCGGGCTGTATTTCCCTCATTTCTTCATATACATTTTGCTTGTAAAATCAGGGATGGACAGACTTGAACAATCTCTGGGGGAAGACCTTCGCTCGAGCCCACAGCCCGGTCATGTGTTCGAAAGATGCCCTAGAGCAGTGATGGCGAACCTATGACACGCGTGTCAGAGGTGACCCGCGAACTCATTTTTGTGGTTGATTTTTCTTTGTTAAATGGCATTTAGATATATAAAATAAACATCAAAAATATAAGTCTTTGTTTGACTATGGTTGCAAAGATCAAAAAATTTCTCTATGTGACACGGCACCAGAGTTAAGTGAGGGTTTTTCAAAATGCTGGCACGCCGAGCTCAAAAGATTCGCCGTCACTGGCCTAGAGGCCCCTTCCCCTCACGCAGACGTTCCCTGGGCAGCTGGATGGGCGGTGTGGGAGGACGGCTCTACCCGGGGCCGGCGAGGAGCTCGGGGTCCCGACGCAGGGCCTGCCTCTGTCCCGGCAGCTGTTCGAGACCAAGAAGAACAGCAAGAGCCGGCACAGGAAGGTCACCATCTACAGCTTTGCCGGGAATCAGAGGAATCGCTGCAGCACCTTCCGAGTGAAGAGGAACCAGACCATCTACTGGCAGGAAGGCCTCCTGGTCACGTTCGATGGGGGCTACCTCAGGTGGGGACACCGGACGGGGCCTTCCCTGGGGGCGGGCAGGGGGGACCAGCCACCGGGCGTCCAGCTCTGCTCCCGAGAGCGGCTCATGATGGCAGTTTGTGAGAGATGGGGTGCCCGGGTGCCCACGGTTTGGGGAACATTGGGAGGATGGTGCACTTGGATAGGGCGTGGGAGCACCGAGCTTTTCCCTCGTGCCTTGCTCTCTGCATCGCCTGCCTGTGGCCGCTCCTGTGGACGAGCCTTTTGTAATAACCGGTGCTCTCGTTCCTACACTTGTCAACTGTCCCTGGCATCCTTCTGCCAGGAAAAGAGGACGTTCCATGGAATTTATTAGACCAGAGAGAAAAGATGGCCCAGGAAGTCAGTTTTAAAGGAAGCACTTACACCCTGGCTGGTGTGGCTCAGTGGATAGAGCGTCGGCCCGAGGACTGAAGAGTCCCGGGTTCGATTCCACTCAAGGGCACGTACCTCGATTGCAGGATCGATCCGATCGCCCTGGTCTAGGAGGCAACCAATCGGTGTGTCGCTCTCCCATTGATGTATCTCTCTCTGTGTCTCTCTCCTTCCCATCCACTCTCTCTATAAATCAATGGAAAAATATTCTCAGGCGAGAATTAACCAAAAAAATAAATTAAATAAAGGAAGAACGTACTGCTATGCTGGAGGAAGTTCCTCGCAAAGAAAAGTGGGAGGAAGAGGGAGAGAGAGAGAGAGAAACATCCATGATGAGAGAGAATCATGGATCGGCTGCCTCCTGCACACCCCCCACTGGGGATGGAGCCTGCAACCCGGGCATGTGCCCTGACCGGGAATCGAACCGTGACCTCCTGGTTCATAGGTCAATGCTCAACCACTGAGCCACGCCAGCAGTATATTTACAATGAATTTTTTTAAATATTCTACAGTGAGAAAAGAAGGGAGTAGGGGAAGGTGCCTTCCTTCAAGGGCCTGATATGATCCATTCTCAGTGCCTGCTGCTTTCATGGCGATGTTTCTAGTTCAGGGTCACGGTGGCCACTTGGCCGATGAGAATGCCGTGGTCCCCAAGAAGAAAGAACGTTCCCAGGTTGCACCTGAGGGCCGGGTCCCAGCCTGCACATCCCTTGCTGCAAAGCCTTCAGGCTGTTCAGGTCACCATGTCAGGGGCCATATGGGGACAATAGGTGGCCATGCACACAAATACACAAATGCAGGATCCCCCCCCCCCAACCCCAGATAGTCCTGCCCGAGCACAAGGAGCCTGGGGGCCCCTGGGGGTCGGTCCTCACCCCAGGGGCAAAGAGATGTCCCAGGGCCCTGCACGGTCCGATCACAGTGGACTCCTCCTTGTCTCTGGTGGCAGCGTGGAGTCCTCGGACGTGAACTGGAAAAAGAAGAAGAGCGGAGGAATCAAAATCATCTGCCAGTCGGAAGTGAGGGACTTCTCCGCCATGGCCTTCATCACGGACCATGTCAACTCCTTGATCGATCAGTGGTTTCCCGGTAAGAGAACGTTTGCTTGTTTTAATATTTTTTTAATGATTTCAGAGAGGAAGGGAGAGAGAAACATCAATGATGAGAGAGAATCATGGATCGGCTGCCTCCTGCACGCCTCCGACTGGGGTTCGAGCCCGCAACCGTCCTGACCTGACCGGGAATCGAACCGTGACCTCCTGGTTCATAGGTCGACGCTCAACCACTGAGCCACGCCAACGGAACTAAGAGGAAGTTCTTGAACCCCGTCTTTATTCGTGTGAGTGTAGCGCCCCTTGAACAATGTGGGTTTGAACTGTGGGGGTCCACTCATATGCCAGTTTTTGTTGTGGTTGTTCACCCTCATCCGAGGATATTTTTCCACTTATTTTTAGAGAGAGTGGAAGGGAGGGGGAGAGACAGAGAGAGATATAGATATAGATATAGATATAGATATAGATATAGATATAGATATAGATATAGATATAGATATAGATATAGATATAGATATAGATATAGATATAGATATAGATATAGATATAGATATAGATATTAAAGGGGTTTGCAATTGCAAACAAAAGTACCTGAAGTGAGGAATCTGGCTTCTGACATGACTGTGGAATATTTAAGCCAAACAAGACAGAAATGAAATAGTGAATGTGAGGGACTCAGATATTTTTAAAGATATATTTTTATTGATTTCAGAAAGGAAGGTCGACGCTCAACCACTGAGCCACACCGGCTGGGCTAAGCTTACAATTTTACAGATATATTGTCACCCGGCCTTAGAAATAATTCTGTGATTGTTGTTGTTGCTCCTATGACACTCTGTTGACAAGATGGTTCTAGGGAATCCCAATCTCAAATGTGATTGGAGACTTGAGAATCTGAAAATTATCAGCCATCAAGAAATCTGTCCACTGTTCTTATTGGCTATAAAACAGACCATCTGAAGTCCTGTATTTTATACAATAAACATTCAAGGGGTCAACTCAGTACATTTCCAAATCCATAACAGCCATCGAAGGTCAACATAATGGCCCGGCCAGTGTGGCTCAGTGGTTGAGCGTCGACCTATGAACCAGGAGGTCAGGGTTCGATTCCCTGTCAGGGCACAAGCCAGGGTTGCGGGCTTGATCCCCATGAGGGGGCGTGCAGGAGGCAGCCGGTCCATGCTTCTCTCTCATCATTGATGTTTCTCTCTCTCTCTCTCTCTTCCTCTCCCTTCCTCTCTGAAATCCATAAAAATATTTTTTAAGAAGGAACCTAATTGCAATAGTCACTTTTCAGGCACAATCTGGGGGCTGACGAGAGCACACAGATCCCCCTTCCGGGAAGGCCCCCCACCAGGCTGGGTTTGCAGGTGCTGCCCTGGGACCCCTTCCCCAGCAGCCACCGTCCTCTGAGCTGTCCCCCACTCTGTCCCATTTAGCCCTGACGGCCACGGAGAGCGACGGGACGCCCCTCATGGAGCAGTACGTGCCCTGCCCGGTGTGCGAGACCTCCTGGGCCCGGCACGCCGACCCCGGCGAGAAGGCAGAGGGCGTGCAGTACTTCGACATGGAGGACTGCGTGCTGACGGCCATCGAGCGGGACTTCATCGCCTGCCCCAGGCACCCCGACCTCCCCGTGCCCCTCCAGGAGCTGGTGCCCGAGCTGTTCATGACCGACTTCCCGGCCAGGTACGCCGCCCTGGCTGCTGGCGGCTGCAGCCACCGCCTCCCGCCCGGTCCCAGGGGACTTTTAGTTATTTATTTTTTGGTTAATCCTTACCCAGGGATATTTTTTCCATTGATTTTTTTAAATGTATTTTTATTGATGTCAGAGAGGAAAGGAGAGGGAGAGTGAGTGAGAGAGAGAGAGAGAGAGAGAGAGAGAGAAACATTCATGACGAGAGAGAATCATGGATCAGCTGCCCCCTGCACCCCCCCTACTGGGAATGGAGCCTGCAACCCAGGCCTGTGCCCTGACCAGGAATCGAATCGTGACCTCCCGGTTCCTAGGTCGATGCTCAACCACTGGGCCACGCCGGCCGGGCTGCAGCCTGGTTCATAAACGAGGTCCTTGTCCAGGGGTTGCATAGCCCGCCGGTCTGAGCAGGATCCAGGGTCCAGCACATGTTCTCTGGGAACTAATTACTTATTTATTTTTTGGTTAATCCTTACCCAGGGATATTTTTCCATTGATTTTTTAAAAATGTATTTTTATTGATGTCAGAGAGGAAAGGAGAGGGAGAGTGAGAGAGAGGAACATCCATGATGAGAGAGATTCATGGATCAGCTGCCCCCTGCACGCCCCCTACTGGGAATGGAGCCCACAACCCAGGCCTGTGCCCTGACCGGGAATCGAACCGTGACCTCCCGGTTCCTAGGTCGATGCTCAACCACTGGGCCACGCCGGCCGGGCTGCAGCCTGGTTCATAAACGAGGTCCTTGTCCAGGGGTTGCATAGCCCGCCGGTCTGAGCAGGATCCAGGGTCCAGCACATGTTCTCTGGGAACTGCAGCTGTGGCCCAACCCCGCCCTCAAGGCGCCACCCTCCTCCCCTGGGCGCTCGGGCGGGTGGGCGCCTGTTCTGACCGGAGCCACCATGTCCCCCGCAGGCTCTTCCTGGAGAACAGCGAGCTGGAGCACAGCCAGGACCAGAGCAGCGTCCTGGGCCAGGGCGGCAGCGGCACCATCATCTACCGCGCCCGCTACCAGGGCCGGCCCGTGGCCGTGAAGCGCTTCCAGATCAAGAAGTTCAAGAACTTCGCTAACGTCCCCGCCGGTGAACTGGGCCCTGCCTCCTTGCTTTTTAAAATTGATTTCAGAGAGAGAGAAACATCAACCAGGAGAGAGAATCATGGATCGGCCGCCTCCTGCACGCCCCCTACTGTGGGTGGAGCCCGCGACCCGGGCCTGTGCCCCGACCGGGAGTGGAACCACGCAGGCCGGGAGGTGTCATTTCTGCGCAGACGTGAGCTCCTCCGCTTAACACCCAGTGCGGGCGCTGGGAGCCTCTCACCACCGGGCGGCTGAAGGTCACCTGGGCCACTGGCCCTGGCTTGCCATGGTCACCTTGGTGATCTTATAGCCACTGGCCCTCTCGGTAGAAAAATTAGGGCTGTAGAACAATACAAAGAAAGCGGGTCCAAGAGGAAGAGACTAACTTGTAACTTTGTGATGAGAATGTGACTTTCAAAAGCATATAGCCGGCCGGTGTGACTCACTGGTTGAGCGTCTACCTATGAACCGAGAGGTCACGGTTCGATTCCCGGTCGGGGCACATGCCCAGGTTGCGGGCTCCATCCCCATTAGGGGGCGTGCAGGAGGCAGCCGATCTATGATTCTCTCTCATCCTTGATGTTTCTGTCTCTCCCTCTCCCTTCCTCTCCGAATTCAATTTAAAAAATAAAAATTTTTTTAAATAAAATGCGTGTGAACTGACGCCGTGCCGCCCCCTGCAGACACCATGCTGAGGCACCTGCGGGCCACGGACGCCATGAAGAACTTCTCGGAGTTCCGGCAGGAGGCCAGCATGCTGCACGCCCTGCAGCACCCCTGCATCGTGTCCCTCATCGGCATCAGCATCCACCCGCTCTGCTTCGCCCTGGAGCTCGCCCCGCTGGGCAGCCTCAACACCGTGCTGTCCGAGAACGCCAAAGGTGCCCGCCGCTCCCGGAACCTTCCACGGGGGTTGGGGGGTGCAGGGTGAGGGGTGGCTGCTTCTGGGAGGCCCGATAATCCGTGGCTGGCCAGGCTGGTGTGGCTCCGTGGTTGAGTGTCAACCTGTGAACCAGGAGGTCATGGTTCGATTCCTGGTCAAGGGCACATGCCAGGTTGCAGGCTCGATCCCCAGTGTGGGGCATGCAGGAGGCAGCCGATCAAGGATTCTCTCTCCTCATTGATCTCTCTCTCTCCCTTCCTCTCTGAAAGCAATTGGAAATATATTTTTAAAAATGAATAAATGAAAAAGAAAGGGGACAGTCGTGCTGATGATCGTCTGATGTGTCTTTCTTTGCAAAGATTCTTCGTTCATGCCCCTGGGCCACATGCTCACCCAGAAGACGGCCTACCAGATCGCCGCGGGCCTGGCCTACCTGCACAAGAAGAACATCATCTTCTGTGACCTGAAGTCGGACAACATCCTGGTCTGGTCCCTGGACGTCAAGGAGCACGTGAACATCAAGCTGTCAGACTACGGCATCTCCAGGCAGTCCTTTCACGAGGGCGCCCTGGGCGTGGAGGGCACGCCCGGCTACCAGGCCCCAGAGATTAGGCCACGCATCGTGTACGATGAGAAGGTACCCAGCTCAGGACCCCGGGCCCGTGTCAGGCAAGCCATGGGTGGATGGATGGATGGATGGATGGATGAGTGATAGATGGATGGACAGATGAGTGATAGATAGATGGACAGATGGATGATGGATGATGGATGGAGGCGTGGGTGGGTGGATGATGGATGGGTGGGCAGGTGGATGCATAGATATAGTGATGGATGATGGATGGGTGGGCGGGTGGATGGATAGATGGGTGGGTGGGTGGTTGGATAGATGTAGAGATGGATGATGGATGGAGGGATGGATGATGGATGGGTGGGTGGGTGGATGGATAGATGTAGAGATGGATGATGGATGGGTGGATGAATGGATGGACAGATGGATGATGGGTGGATGGATGGGTGGGTGGATGGATATATAGAGAGATGGATGATGATGGGTGGACGGATGATGGATGGGTGGGCGGGTGGATGGATAGATGGAGAGATGGATGATGGGTGGATGGATGGATGGATGAGTAGGCTGGAGGATGGATAGAAAAATGGATGAGGAATGGGCGATGTAGGTGGGCGGAAGGAAGGGAGTACAGATGGACGGACTGGAAGGTGGATGGATAAAGGGACAGAAGGATGGATGGTCGGGTGGTTCGTCATACGTTTGGACAGGTGCGGAGAGGTGGATGATGGGTGGATGGATGGGTGAGTGCCTCCCTTTGCACAGGGCCCCTGATCTCCTCGCCTAAAGGTACCTCCCTTCTCCGTCCCCCCTGAGGGCCAGCTCGTGAGAGCGGCTGGGCCCAGGCGGGGGACCTGACTCGCCTGCCTCCCCGCCAGGTAGACATGTTCTCCTACGGGATGGTGCTCTACGAGCTGCTGTCGGGACAGCGGCCCGCGCTGGGCCACCACCAGCTGCAGATCGCCAAGAAGCTGTCCAAGGGCATCCGCCCGGTGCTGGGGCAGCCGGAGGAGGTGCAGTTCCATCGGCTGCAGGCGCTCATGATGGAGTGCTGGGACACGAAGCCCGAGAAGGTACCCGGGGCGCAGGGCCTGGCGCTCAGCACCTCCGGCCGCTGTGGTGGATGGAGGCTGGGGGTCTCCTGGGGCCCCGTGGACGGCTGCCCCGAAGGGCTCAGAACCCATAGGGCCACTCCCCGCTGCTCACCTCTTCCAGAAAGAGGTCTTTCCTGCTCCTCAGACATTCCGATCAGTGCTGTGGGGTGTGTATCACTCTGAGGACCAGTGACCTTGCTTTTCCTCCCAGCGTCTGTGTAGCATCCTCATGCGGGTAAAGCGTGTCCGCCCCTGGATGGCGAGGCGGTCCCCGTGCAGGAGCAGGGGACGTAGGTGGCTCTTTGGAGAGTAACGGGGAGCAAGCAGGTTTGCTCAAGAGAAACAGGAGCCTCATTGTCTTTTTAAAGCCAGTGGCTGTCCGTTTGGTGTGGCTCAGCCATCAGGGCACATGCCCGGGTTGCAGGCTCGATCCCCAGTAGGGGGCATGCAGGAGGCAGCCGATCCATGATTCTCTCTCATCAGTGATGTTTCTGTCTCTCCCTCTCCTTTCCTCTCTGACATCAATAATAATATTTCATGACTAGATAATCAATAAAGCGAGTTGTTTTCAGAAAAGGCCAGTGGTTTCAAGTTTAAACCACACGGATCACTTTAGAAAGTGCGAGTGTAAAGTGTTGGCAGTAAATGAGGTCTGAGAACATTTCTTTACAAGATTCAATGATTCCGCACTCCTAGGATTAGGGGGTGTAATATCAGAGGTTAGACTAACCTGGTCACTGGAGTTCTAGTTGCCATGGACAACGGTGACCCAGGTGCCTCGGAGGGTCTGCTTCTGGTGTCTGTTTTGGTCTCTTGTTTCAGTTGAGTCTTGTGTTGTTTTTTTAATTGATTTTAAAAAGGAAAGAAGAGGGAGAGAGAGAGAGGTGTTTCAGTTGAGTCTTGTGTTGTTTTTTTAATTGATTGTAGAAAGGAAGGAAGAGGGAAAGAGAGATAGGAACATCAATAGTGAGAGAGAATCATTGATCTGCTGCCTCCTGCTCGCCCCGTAACCCGGGCATGTGCCCCTGACCAGAATCGAACCGGGGACGCTTCAGTCCGCAGGCTGACGCTCTATCCACTGAGCCGAACCAGCCAGGGCTCAGTTGAGCCTTGAATGAGTAGATTCCACTCCTTCCTTCTTGGTTCAAGGCGGTGGGTTTCGTGGGCAGAATGGGCATCCGTCTGGTTGGTAAGTGACCCCGCTCACGGCCACGGCGGCCTCTCTCCCTCAGCGACCGCTGGCCCTGTCCGTGGTGAGCCAGATGAAGGACCCGACCTTCGCGACCTTCATGTACCAGCTGCCCTGTGGGAAGCAGACCGCCTTCTTCTCGTCCCAGAGCCAGGAGTACACGGTGGTGTTCTGGGACGGCAAGGAGGAGTCCAGGTAAAGCCTTGAGGCTTGCCACACCCTGCTGGTGTCAGAGGAGGGGCGCCCGTGGCATCGGGGGGCAGTCGGGGGTGACCACGGTGAGAGTTGGTTGGTGCATGATGGATTGGAAGCCCGATGGAGACTCCTCAAGAGAGAAAACTGCCCCGGCCAGTGTGGCTCAGTTGGTTGAGCAGCGTCTCATGAACCAAAAGGTCGCCGGTTTGATTCCCGGTCAGGGTACACACCCAGGTTTTGGGCTCCATCCTTGGTTGGGGCATGCGAGAGTGCGGGAGGTGGCCGATCAATGTTTCTCTCTCTCTCCCTTTGTCTCTCTCTTTAAAAAAAAAAAAAATCAACAAAAACGTATTTTAGCCCTAGCCGGTTTGGCTCAGTGGATAGAGTGTCGGCCTGCGGACTGAAGGGTCCCGGGTTCGATTCCGGTCAAGGGCACACGCCTGGGTTGCGGGCTTGATCCCCAGTAGGAGGCGTGCAGGAGGCAGCTGATCAATGATTGATCTCTCATCATTGATGTTTCTCTCCCTCTCCCTTCCTCTCTGAAATTAATAAAAATATATTTTTTTTTAAAAAAAGCATATTTTTTAAAAAAGAAAGAAAACTGAGCCCACACATATAGACATGCACATAGAGGTCTGTGATTAAGAGAAGCAAAGAAGCCCGGCCGGTGTGGCTCAGTGGTTGAGCGTCAACCCATGAACCAGGAGGTCTGGTTCCGCCCATCGCCGATTCTCCTCTTCCGCGGTTGCCACAGGCCAGGCCAGGATGAGGGAGGCGGCCCCGGCCCCCTTGAGCTGACCACACCATCGCCGCCCCTTGCAGGAACTACACGGTGGTGAACATGGAGAAGGGCCTCCTGGAAGTGCAGAGGATGGGCTGCCCGGGCATGAAGCTCAGCTGCCAGATCAAGGTCCAGAGCTCTCTCTGTGTCAGGTGGAGGGCAGAGAGCATATATTTCGGGACCCTCGGAAAGTACGAATAAGTTTGTGTTCACCCAGCACCATGGCCTGGAGCTCTGGGTACCTAATGCCCAGAGATCCTTTTCACAGTCTCTTTTTATGCCCATTTTACAGATGGGAAAACTGACATTGGATTATGACCGCCAACATGGTTTTCTTCCTTCTTTTTAAGAGAGAGTGGAAGAGCCCCTTCAGGGCACATGCCTGGGTTGCGGTCTCGATCCCCAGGACGGTGTGTGCAGGAGGCAGCCGATCCATGATTCTCTCTCATCATGGATGTTTCTCTCTCTCTCTCCCTTCCTCTCTGAAATCTATAAAAATATATTTTAAAAAAGGAAAGAAAGAAAGTCGGTGCCTCAGACCCCAACAGTGGTTTTCTCTGGGGAGCAGATGATGGGCAATTTCGCTTTTCTTCTTTAGACGACCCTGTCGTTTTCAAAGTTTCTACAAAGGACAGAGATGCGACAACAAGCCACCAGAGAGCCTTTAGGGTTTCCGAGGCGGAGCGGGCCCCGTAAGGACGTCTGGCCCGTGTCCGCCGGGTCTCACGCGGCCCGTCTGCCTCTGCAGGACCAGAAGATCTACATCTACAGCCTCAAGGGCATGTGCCCCTTAAACGCGCCCCAGCGGGCCTTGGACACGCCGGCCGTGGTCACCTGCTTCCTGGCGGTGCCTGTGTTGAAGAAGGTGAGGTGTGGGCGGGGGAAGGTGAGTGCACAGGGGCTGGCTCTCCCTGCCGGTTCTTTTGGGGGCAGGGGGGTGGTGAGGGGAGAGAGAGCATAGCCACACCCTCCTGGACCGCCAAGCCCAGGTCACTGTCAGCCTTAACCCAGGAGACCTGGGCTGTCCTCAGGGCCCTTCCTGTTGGGGAAAACCCACGTGACCAGTAAGACTAAGGGCTCAGTGGACAGCTGTCCATGCAAATACCACAGCCCTGGATTTTGGCAAAATGCTTTTATACTAGTACATATACTAGTGGGGTCCCTCGGCCTGGCCTGCGGGGATCAGGCCGAAACCGGCTCTCCGACATCCCCCGAGGGGTCCCGGATTTCGAGAGGGCGCAGGCCAGGCCAAGGGACCACACTGGTGCACAATCGGGGCCGGGGAGGGACGGAGGGAGGGCTCCAGGGCGTGTCCGGCCTGTCTCACCCAGTCCCTATCAGCCAGACTCCAGCAGCAAGTAAACCTACCCGTCGGAGCGTCTACCCCCTGGTGGTCAGTGCGTGTCATAGCGAATGGTCGAATGACACTTAGCGTATTAGGCTTTTATTATATAGGATATTTATTTTTAAGTTTCCTGTTTTTATTTTTTTATTTAATTACATTTTTTATTGTTGATAGTATTACAGATATCTCCCATTTCCCCCCTAGATATATATATATTTTTTATTGATTTCAGAGAGGAAAGGAGAAGGAGAGAGAGAGAGAAATATCCATGATGAGAGAGAATCATTGATTGGCTGCCTCCTGCACACCCCCTCCTGGGGATCGAGTCCGCAACCCAGGCATGTGCCCTGAAGGGGCTCTTCCACTCTCTCTTATAAAGAAGGAAGAAAACCATGTTGGCGGTCATAATCCAATGTCAGTTTTCCCATCTGTAAAATGGGTGTAAAAAGAGACTGTGAAAAGGATCTCAGTACCCAGAGCTCCAGGCCATGGCGCTGGGTGAACACGAACTTATTCGTACTTTCCAAGGGTCCCGAAATATATGCTCTCTGCCCTCCACCCAACACAGGTTCATTTCTTTAGATGAGAGAGAATCATGGATCGGCTGCCTCCTGCACACACCGTCCTGGGGATCGAGACCGCAACCCAGGCATGTGCCCTGAAGGGGCTCTTCCACTCTCTCTTAAAAAGAAGGAAGAAAACCATGTTGGCGGTCATAATCCAATGTCAGTTTTCCCATCTGTAAAATGGGCATAAAAAGAGACTGTGAAAAGGATCTCTGGGCATTAGGTACCCAGAGCTCCAGGCCATGGTGCTGGGTGAACACAAACTTATTCGTACTTTCCGAGGGTCCCGAAATATATGCTCTCTGCCCTCCACCTGACACAGGTTCATTTCTTTAAAAAAAAGTCTGAACTCAGCCTTAGAGTCATTTATGACGGTGGCCCCACGGGTGAGGCAGGGGCAGCTCGGGCCCCAAGTGCCGGAGAATAGGACACAAAGCGTCATTTAAGGCCACGGCCGGCCGGAGCCCCCGAGCCAGGGCACCACCGCCCGCACGACCAGAGGGAATAAAGCCGGCTCTGTGCAGAGCCTCCCTGCCCGGGTACCTGCCCTCGGAGGCCTCGGACGGGACAGCAGACCCCTGCATTCTTGCACGCGCTCACACCCAGCCGGCCTGGCGCTCGCTGCCCTGGCTGGGGCCTGCGCCGGGGCTCAATAGAGACACAGCTCCTGTTGGCCTGGGCTGCTACCTGTACTAAAACCCTGTGAGGATTTCGATAGACATCCTTTTTTTAAAAAATATATTTTATTGATTGATTTTTTTACAGAGAGGAAGGGAGAGAGATAGAGAGTTAGAAACATCGATGAGAGAGAAACATTGACCAGCTGCCTCCTGCACATCCCCTACTGGGGATGTGCCCGCAACCCAGGTACAAGCCCTTGACCGGAATCGAACCTGGGACCTTTCAGTCCGAAGGCCGACGCTCTATCCACTGAGCCAAACCGGTTAGGGCAATAGACATCCTTTTTGTTGTTGTTCATCTTCACCTTCTTTTTCTTGTTGTTGTTTTTTTTAATATATTTTTATTGATTTCAGAGAGGGAGAGAGAGAAATCTCAATGATGAGAGAGAATCATGGATCGGCTGCCTCCTGCACGTCCCCTACTGGGGATGGAGCCTGCAACCCAAGCATGTGCCTTGACTGGGATTCAAACCAGCGACCTCTTGGTTCAGTGGTTGATGCTTAACCACTGAGCCACACCAGCCGGGCTGCCCGGGCTGCTTTCTTTCCTAAAACCCTGATGAAGGATTTCGATAAATGTTCTTTTTTAAAAATATATATTTTTATTGATTTCAGAGAGGAAGGGAGAGGGGGAGAGAGAGAGAGAAACATCAATGATGAGAATCCTGAATCAGCCTCCTCCTGCATGCCCCCTACTGGGGATCGAGCTCACAACCCAGGCATGTGCCTTGACTGGGATTCGAACCCTGACCTTCTGGCTCACAGGTCGACGCTCAACCCCTGAGCCCTGCCGGCCAGGCACCCCTGCCTTTTCAAGACCCTTTTTCCTGTTCTCCCGGCAGAATTCCTTCCTGGTGCTGGCGGGCCTGGCGGACGGGCTGGTGGCAGCGTTCCCCGTGGTGCGGGGCGCCCCTGAGGACAGCTGCTCCTACCTGTGCTCGCACACGGCCAACAGGTCCAAGTTCAGCATCCCGGACGAGGACGTGCGGCAGAACCCCTACCCCGTGACGGCCATGGAGGTGGTGAACAGCGGGTCCGAGGTCTGGTACAGCAACGGGCCGGGCCTGCTGGTCATCGACTGCGCCGGCCTGGACATCAGCCGGCGGCTGGAGCCCTACGCGGCCCCGTCGGTGGTCACCTCGCTCGTGTGCAGCTCGGACTGCGGGGGCGAGGAGGTGGTCTGGTGCCTGGACGACAGGGCCAACCTCTTGGTCATGTACCATTCGGCCACCTACCAGCTGTGCGCCCGCTACTTCTGCGGGGACCCGAACCCTGGGAGGGACGTGTTTCCCGTGCACCCCTCGGGCCTGGAGCCGCCGGACGGCCCCGTGGCCAGCCGGCAGGAGCCCGAGGCGGACTCCATCGCCGACGTGAGCATCATGTACAGCAAGGAGCTGGGCACGCAGATCCTGACGCACCAGGACTCGCTGACCGACTACTGCTCCATGTCGTCATACTCCTCGTCCCCCCGGCAGCGGGCCCCCCTGTCCCCGGACAGTTCCTCCAGCATCCTCTTCTCCACCGACGGGGAGGGCTCGGACCGGCTGCTCGAGCCCACGGCCGGTTCCGACAGGTCCGAGCAGGAGCTGAGCCCCGTGGACGGCGAGGCGTTCAGCCAGCACCTGCAGGCCGTGAAGGTCCTGGCTGTGAAGGACGTCATCTGGGTGCCCAGGTAGGTCTCCCCGCGGCGGGGGGTGCGAGCTTGGGGGTGCCCGTCTCCCGTTCTGACTTTGGGGGCGGAGTGACGGAAGCTTGGGGACACTGTGGCCATCCATAGGAACTGCGCCCCCTGTTCTGAAATTGGGAGCAATCTGTTTGTTTTCAAATATACTTTTATTGATTTCAGAGAGGGAGATAGAGAGAAATATCAATGATGAGAGAGAATTATGGATCGACTGCCTCCTGCACGCCCCCTCCTGGGGATCGAGCCCACAATCCCGAGCATGTGTCCTGACCAGGAATCGAACCGTGACCTCCTGGTTCATAGGTCAGTGCTCAACCACTGAGCCATGCCAGCCGGGCCAATCTCTTTTTATTTTTTTTAATATGTTTTTATTGATTTCTGAGAGAGAAGAGAGGGAGAGAGAGTTAGAAACATCAATGATGAGAGAGAATCATGGATTGGCTGCCTCCTACTGGCCCCCTACTGGGGATTGAGCCTGCAACCCTGGTACGTGCCCTTGACCGGAATTGAACCCAGTACCCTTCAGTCTGAGGGCCAACGTTCTAACCACTGAGTAAACCAGTCAGGGCACTAGCTGTATTGTGGGGTTTTTTTTTTTAATTGATTTCAGAGAGGGGAGAGAGAAGCATCAATGATGAGGTGAGAGCCGAAACCGGTTTGGCTCAGTGGATAGAGTGTCGGCCTGCGGACTGAGGGGTCCTGGGTTCGATTCCGGTCAAGGGCATGTACCTTGGTTGCGGGCACATACCCAGTAGGGAGTGTGCAGGAGGCAGCTGATCGGTGTTTCTCTCTCATCGATGTTTCTAACTCTATCTCTCTCCCTTTCTCTCTGTAAAAAAATCAATAAAATATATTTAAAAAAAAATGATGAGGGGAGAGAGAATCATGGACCGGCTGCCTCCTGCACACCCCTCACTGGGGATGGAGCCCACAACCCGGGCATGTGCCCTGACCGGGAATCGAACCATGACCTCCTAGTTCATAGGTCAACACTCAACCACTGAGCCACACCGGCCGGGCTGGAGCGATCTCATTGGCAGAGCCAGCCGAGAAGGGCTGTGCTAGCTGAGGGCACCGTGGTCAAGTGCGATCAGGTTTCCTGCTGGGAAAGTGCCTGCGGGCCCCGCTCCGGTGCCCCCTGTGCCACTCAGTCCATTAGCAGAAACCCCTCGTTTGTTGCCCTGCCGCCTGCACGCCCTGCCAGCTCCGCTTCCCCTGGCGAGCCCGGCCCCGGACAAAGCACTTCCCCTCGCGGGTTCTGGTTTCACAGGCGCGGAGGAGATGTTATCGTCATCGGCCTGGAGCGGGACGCGGGCGCCCAGCGGGGCCGAGTCATCGCCGTCTTGAAAGCCCGAGAGCTGACGTCAAGGGGGTAAGACTGGATGGGTCTCACTCCCTGGGCTGGGCCGGGGGTGGAATCCAGGCCCTCTGCCCCGTCCCTGCACAGTGGCCATCCGTCTGCCCTCCTGTCCTCCTCAAATTAGCATTACTCCCACCACCCTGGCTGGTGTGGCTCAGTGGATAGAGCATCGGCCTGCGGACTGGAGGGTCCCGAATTCGATTCTGGTCAAGGGCACGTGCCCAGTGGCAGGCTCAATCCGAGGCCCTGGTCTGGGCGGGGCCGTGCAGGAGGCAATCTATCAGTGCATCTCTCTCACATCAATGTTTTTCTCTCTGTGTGTCTCCCCCTTCCCACCACCCTGGCTGGTGTGGCTCAGTGGATAGAGCATCGGCCTGCGGACTGGAGGGTCCCGAATTCGATTCTGGTCAAGGGCACGTGCCCAGTGGCAGGCTCAATCCGAGGCCCTGGTCTGGGCGGGGCCGTGCAGGAGGCAATCTATCAGTGCATCTCTCTCACATCGATGTTTCTCTCTCTGTGTGTCTCCCCCTCCCTTCCATGCCACTCTCTCTAAAAATCAATGGGAAAATAGCCGCGGGGGAGGATTCACCAAAAATAGTGCGTGTGGTTAGGACCTGGTGCGGGGTGTTGGCCTAATCCACTGCCCTGCGTTCCCTAAGCACGAGGACAGGGAGAACTTCGGGAAAAGAATCCTGACGAGGCAGGGCCGTTGAGCTCAGGCCCAAATCCGTCCTGGGCCCTTGGCGAGCAGGAGTTGGAGTGGGTGGTGTTTTCTGCACCCTTTGGGGTCTGAGACCCATCACGAAACACAGCTGCTCTGATGGGATCGGGGTCCTTCCCAGGAGTCGGTCCCTTACAGACCATCCCTGGGACCCTGAACTGATGCCCTTGGCTTGCCTTTTTATTTATTTATTTTTTTTTAGTATATTTTTATGGATTTCAGAGAGGAAGGGAAAGGGAAAGAGAGATAGAAACATCAGTGATGAGAGCGAATCATGGATCGGCTGCCTCCCGCACGCCCCCTACTGGGGATCGAGGCCACAACCCGGGCATGTGCCCTGACCGGGAATCGAACCGTGACCTCCTGGTTCACAGGTCGACGCTCAACCACTGAGCCACACGGGCCAGCCTTGCGCATCTTTTGATGGGTAGGCCTCTGCCCGCAGGCTGCACCCCCAGGGAGAAGCAGGGCACTGAAACACATGGGTGGGGCCCGGCCGACGTGCCCCTGTGTCCCCCTAGGCCACTCTCTGGCCTCCCGAGACAGTACAGGGCGAGGGGCCCGGCCTGACCTCGTGGGCACCCCGGTGGGTGTTCTCAGACCCGCCCCCTCTCCGCAGGGCTCTGGTGGATGCGGCCGTGGTGGCCAAGGACACCGTCGTGTGTGGCTTCGAGGACGAAAGCAGCGAGTGGTGCCTGGCCGTGTGGCGGGGCTGGGGCACCCGGGAATTTGACGTCTTCTTCCAGGCCTACGAGGAGCTGGGCCGGCTGGAGGCCTGCGGGCGCAAGAGGAGGTAGCGCCGCCCACGGAAGGAGCATCGCCCTGAC